TCTCTGTCCTTCTTTGCATTAAATGCCAGAAGAGGGAGCATTGAGAGCAGAAGAGGTACAGTCTTTCTGCTGTCATATTTTTTTTTGCCATTAGTACTGATGCTGCTTGGAGAGTGCAGTGCGCTCTCTGCATTGAGATTTGCTTAAAGGACCAACAGAGAACAGCCCCAGTCCTGCAGGTTTTCGGTTGTGAGCTGGAGTATTCTCAGTACAGGATGATTCTTAGAAGTTGTTAACTAAAGCTGAAAGGCTTTCAAGAAATTGCTGCTGCGCATGTGAAAATTGCATTTTGGAAAGAGGATTTTCATACTTTTTGGGCAAAATAGGGCACATTTTCAGAAATAAGTATGCTCTGAGTAATTACACTATCAAACTTCCACTCCAAAGTTAGAAATACTTGTCTTTAGTAAGTGGCAACCTGTTTTTAACAGTGATACCGTAATACATTTTCTTAATCCTCCTTGTAGATAGTGATCAACTCTTTCATCAAAACTTTGAAAGAATCAGTCTGATGCAGAAATAGAGAATTTCCTTCTAGCATGCTGGCAAAATTACAAAGAAATTAACAACAGTTTGACATGTGAATCATATGGCATCAATAATTTCATAGGATGCTATCAGCTCTGCCTGTTCTAATCCTCCTTCTAATATTATGTGAAGGGACACAGCCTTTTTGTGGTCTGCAGGAGATAAAGGAAGTCCTTTCTTTCTGTTACACACCTTCTCAATGGACTGTCAGTATCCCTTCCATGACTGTTATAATGTGTTTGGTGTAGTATTTTGTACTTTGAATCATACGTTGAAAGATAAATTTAAGTTACGACTATCATAACATTTTAAAGTAACAGTACTAGATATTGTTACTCTTCTAAATACAGTTTTTAAATTCATATTTTTTGTTCTATTAAAATAATGTCATCAAACAGAAACCAGGTTCCAGAAAAATGTATTTATCTGGGTATGGTGTAGAACTTGCAATAAAGAGCACAGAATATAAAGCAGTAGATGACACACAGGTTAAAGGTATGTTGTTCTTTTTTAATCTGATTTTATTAGAGATACTCCTGAAATATTTTATAATCCTCATTTATAAAGTCAGCAATATTTTGGAGATGAAGGTTATAGTTAATTTCTTTTTATGGAAAAAAGTCTCAGACTAAGATACCAAATTGTATGTGTGCATTTGTAAACAGCTGTGCTTAGGGTGATCGTCATTATTTAACTTATAATTGTTTTCTGTGGCTCTTCAAAATGTAACCCATTCTTCCTTTCAATAAGTATAAGATTGTTTAACCTTTGTTCTTCAATTACTTTGTTTGTTCTCATCTCTAATATGCTAATTACTACATTATCTACACATTAGTGTTTCAGGGTTGGGTTTTTTTCTGAATGTATGTGGAAATACTTTCACAATCTTCTGAAGGGTGTGCTCTGTCGTAGTAACATACACTGGTAACAAGTTCTATGTGTTGAAATGAGATATTTATCACAGAAAGTAGTAGCTACAGCATTCTGACACAGAGAAATTACTTTGTGTGGGTATTTACAAGATAGAAAGAAAGTTCATTAACTCTCTTTTGGTAAGACTAAGGTTGTATAGTCTTTAAGCCACTTCAAAAATAGTTTAATTTTTTTGGAGGGGTGAAAGGAACTGATGTCTGACTTAGGTCAAGTGCTAGCTGGAGATTCAAGCACTTCAGAGTCATCATGGCTTTCAAGCATAGATCTGGTAGTAGTTTGGTGTAAGGGTTATACCTTACCACTTAATCAAACTAAGAAATGGCTATTTTGGGAAGTGAACTATTGAACCATATAAATTTCTTTTATATAAAAATGTAACCATTGGGTAAATTATATTTAAAAATGAATTTGAATGTTTCTAAAATACATAAAGTGATTCATTCTGATGCCAAAATATGAATGCATAAATATAAATCTAATTGAAATTACTCTGAGAATGACAACTTACTGATTGTATGTTTCTGTTAACCACTTAATGATTCATAAGAACATAATACATGACTAATGTTCTTGGTTTATATTTTCTACATATGCTATGTATTCAGGAGCAAATGACACAAAAGAAGAGGGCGATGATGATGATGATGAGGAAAGTGATGTCCAAGGATTTCTATTTGGCAAATTAAAGTGAGTTGATACTGGTTATAATTAAACCTGGAACCTGAACCACAAATAAAAGCTTTTTAATAGAAGTAAGATTTATGTTGGAAATAATTTTATTTGCCACTGGTAAAAATTCTCATTAATTTTTTTGCATATGTCTTGTGAATTTAGAGATGCAACAGTTATTTATTCTTTTCCTTTCAATTTATTGCTTTTAGTTTTCTGATTTTCTCAGAATGTATACAGTAAACTGTTCTTAAAGTAAAAAAATTCCCTCTGGGCAACAGTCACAAACTTAGATACAAACATGAAAACACAGTGTTCTACAATAAATTGTTGCTGCTACTTCTGTTTTCAGGTAATTAAAATCAAATTGTTCATTTCCAGAGTGCAAGTAGTAGCACAACAAATACAAACCCATGTGTTGTAGCTACATGAGGTGTTTTTAAGACACTTAGTCATTAATTTCTTAGAGTTAGGGAGTGATATTTCCTGGAAGATACGCTTATTGTAGATGTCTTCTTATTTTGGAGTTTGTGACTTTGTGTTCTGTTCTGCCAGGAACTCTTTTATCTCCAAGTTACAGACTGTTAGTCCATACGTTTGATTAAATTGGGTGCTACCCTACTGAGGGCTATGGGCTGCTTGTAGAATCATAGAATCACAGAATGGTTTAGGTTGGAAGGGAACTTAAAGCTCATTCAGCCCACCCCCCTGCCATGGGCAGGGGCACCTCCCACCAGACCAGATTGCTCAAAGCCCCATCCAACCTGGCCTTGAACACTTCCAGGGAGGAGGCATCTGCATCTTCCCTGGGCAACCTGTGCCAATGCTTCTGGTCCTCTGTTGATGGATTAATTTTGAGCTTGCAGTCATCAGAAGTGTTTCCCTTTTCCTTTAAGGGATACATAATAATAGATCTTGGTTTTTCCTTTGAGAAGGAACTCAAGAGTGTGGGTCTCCTCTAGAGTAATTCTCTTTCTTACTTAAAGAAAAAAGTAAACTTTTTTTATAGATACTCTCACTAAGCTGTAAACCTTCTCAGAGTTCAGAGCTACTAATGCTTGTCTAAATTCTTGAAAGCCTATTCCCTTTCTGTCTTTTAAAAAAAGCACGTTGCCATAGAAAAGCACCCAGATCTGTAGGCTTCCTTATTGGTTCACGTATCTGTAGACACTGTCCACAGTGGGTAATATTAAATGCTCATGTCATATCTTTATCTGAGCTTTTTTCTTCTTAGATTTTTCCAGGCTTAGCTATATGTAGGTTCTTGATGTTGCACTGTGTCCGATTTGCAAAGCTGTCAGATAATTACTCAGACTTCTTGACAGTTTTACTAGACTCATATTTATTTGTCTGTTTTTCAGACTGGAGATGAAAGAGATGTTTCAGTAATCTCTAAATTGTCCCTCAGTTACAGCCATGCCAAAGGTTATATTTTTCTCAACTGTGAAATAGTTACGGATGTAAGCAGAAGACATAAAATCATAGAAATATATCTATTTGATAATGCAGTTCAACATAATTCAGTCCCACATCATGATACATATCCAGAGAAGGGTAGCTTTTTTTTCAGTTGGCTTTATACGTGTTTGATTTTGTGCCCACATTGACCACAGCGTAAGTCAACAAGAGAAATGAAGGACCAAGCATCAATACTAGGTCTTATTTGTCAGTTGTCTTTAATTCACAAAACTGAAGATCTGAATGGAGGAAAAAAATCATCAGGATAAATTTGCAAAGTGAAAACTAATTAGAGAGCTCAAAACTAGTTAAGAGTTTGATTCTTTATAGAAGGATTTCTAAGAGTATGAACTATGTTTGTCATTCTTAGGTCTGTGTTACAATTAAGAAAAGGAATTTTCTGTCTTTGCTTCCATTTTCAGCTGTGTATGCTTTAGAAATTGTTTTGAGGAGGTTGTATAACACTCGAGGATGTCTTGTAGCAGGCTGCCGTCTTTGCCTTCAAAATGTCTTTGCCCAATTTGGTTTTCAAAAATAATATCCAACCTTTTGGGCAGCATGCTCTTCAGATCTAACTAGTGATTTATGTATGCTTAGTAGCTTGATTTTATCAATTTATAAAAGATGTTCTCAATATTGGCTTTCCTATGTCTTTTGTAGATAATCCAGCAACCTATGTACAGCTACAGTTCATCTATAGTACAGTTAGTGTTCAGTTAGGTATACATTATGCTATAGTGAGCTAACTATACAGTTATCTGTATTGTGTGTTAATACTATTTAGTCTTCAAGTTCATTTATTCCATCAAAATTTGTGACAGCATTTAAGACAGATCACTACAAAAAAACTGACCTCCTTGCAATTAACAGGTTTTTAGTTCTCAGAAATCACCTATTCTCACCCCAAATCCTCATTTATTTTTTAAGAATGAACTAATATTTTAATTCTTGCTTGTTACTCTAAAGATACAGTATTAGCTGTAGGCAATACTGTGGATTAAAGCAGACCTTGATGGATGTCATTGATTTTGCCTTTTTGTTAAAAAAATATTTTATTATAGGCAGATGCATCCTCATCTGAAAAATAATCTGGAAGAGTTTAAAAAACATCTAATTGAAACTACTAACAACATGGAACCACTGAAAGTTTGGGAGTTACAGGGTATGTATTCCTTTTTTCTGAATTAGCACAGTATTTCATTTAAGTTTTCCTTTGTTATGTTGTTGTATTAACATTATGATAAATGTTTATTTCAAAAAGAGACACATGGTTTCATAAAAAGGCAGTATTATATCAAGTATTTTAAAAAATGTAGTGGTATCTTGTCCTAGTATTACCTACCAGAAATTAAAGGAGCATTTTAGAAGATGGAGAATCATAACCAACTTTACTGATTTTAAAGCTAGAAGTTACATTGCCCAGTTTTTTGTTTGATGTCATATCTCAAATGTTAAATTTAGTTTCAGATATTTTATTAAGAGGTCAGGGAAAAATATCATGTCAAAAGCATGACTGTTGAGTCAGGATGAAAGACATTTGTTTAAATTATAAATTCTAACCTGTATCAGTCTACTGGATTCCACTTTGATACATTTTAATATTACATCAAATGGAAGAACATGGTTTTAAAAGTTTTCTCATGGAAAAGGAGAACTCATCTGTAGAAGCTGATTTATAAACAGCTTCTGTGCTGATGACCTGCAAGACATTCTGTAGCTTGACTGAAACTATAAATCATCCTAAAACAGGTCCCCAAAATGTCATGACACTTAAATTTAGGCAGCTAAAGCTTACCTGTTAAATTCTTCATTTTTTAGAGGACAACCAGATCAAAACTGATTTGCCTTTATACTACAGTAATGAAGGAGCAATCATCTGAACTTCAGTTTCTCTTTGGGACCCTGGCTATTATGGAACTTGCTAGTGGTATCCAGTCTGAAGCTGGCTATCTGAGATAATTGTAATTCCCTGCAGACTTTTATCAGTTAACTCCCCTTCAGCTGCAGGATTTATCTTTGGTCCATAGTTCTAAAAAGCAAAACGTTTTATTTCAGTTCTCCCAAGAAATCTACCCATGCAAATAAAAAGAAAATTATCTTTTTGTCTAGTTAATTTTCTTACATGATTGAATAACATTCTGCTGATGCTCAAGCAGAAACAGTTGTGAAGCTTTGGTTCCTTCAGTGCTTACCTTCAAAAGCTCAGTATAAGGTCTCTGTTTAGTGGTGGTCTTTTCTGCTGTGTCATGGCTATATGGATAAAGATGAAATTTGTGCTGCTCTCCTAACAACTGTTTCATACAGTGTAGAAAGTAAAGTGTTGGGATGCTGTTTGTTCAGTGCAAGGAAGACTGGTACTGGTTTGTGATAAGTAGTCAGGGCCTTTTTGGCCCCCTCTTTGTATAATGCAGTTGTTTTGTTATTCTTACTCCTGACCATGACTGGGTGTTTTTTTCTAAATGACTAATTACAGTGGCTGAGTTAATGGCCCAGCTACTCTCTGATATCCTTTAATTAGCTTCCAACAAAAATTTAACTAAATTTAACCAAAATTCCTCCAGCTATAGGGCATACTTCCATTTATAAATGACCCTAAACACCTTTCAGGAGTTCTCTTTCAAGAGCCTTTATGTTTTAGGTAAGTAATTAGGTTTACTATTCATAGTGAAAAATTATGCAGAGAATACCAATGTGGTGTTCCCTTTAATAACTCATCCTTTTATCTGTGTGAAATGCGTTTTGATCTCTAGTGCTTCATTATCTTTCAAAGCGTACTTTGAGATCTGCTTTAAGCTCAGGATTGCCTGTTCCCTCAGGTGCCGTACACTGCTCTCTCAGCTGTGTTAGGGATATCAAGGGGAAGATCTATGACAGTACCTGACCAGAGATAACCACGAAAGTAAAAAGACATGTCAGTTTGCCTCAGTGGGATTTCAGTATTCACACTCTATCTGTTCAGTGTAAAATGGAAATGGTTAACAGTTTATGAAGTATTTTAAGTGTATGACCGAAGTGCACAGCAGGTAAGGCGTTACTATCTGTGGTATTGCTTCACCTGGCCACAGCTTACGTGGCTGTTAAAGAGATCTGAAACATTCTTTTGGAAGACACTGATCTCCTTTGTACTTTTTGTTAAAAGTACTAAGAAGTATCGAGTTACCATGCCTCCTCTCACTCATCTCTTTTTCCAGCCAAGCTGTACCTTACTGGGTTAAATTAGGAATGTTCTTCAGCCTTTTTAATTTTTTTTTAATTCCTAATTGCTTCAAAAAGATGGTGTAAAGTTCTACAAGGCAGCATCCTCTATGATTTTCTGCCCAGTGCTTTTTACTATATGTGGCACCTGCTTTCCTCAAACTGAATCACCCAAGGCCTTAAGTTTCTTCTCCACTGTCTTAACTAGTAGATTATGAGCATCATTGCCCTGAGGTAGGTAGTCAAACTGTATCCAAAGTACATGGAAGCACCTAATATTTTATTGCTATACCCCATTGGTACTAAAACTGGATTTTCCCCAGTTTCATGTACCAGGATGTGTCATACCCATGTTAGGCACCTAGAGAAGGCTAACTGAATTCCCATGTTGTTTTTCCAGTGGATAGGCCAATGAATTATAAACTGTCCTGATATATGCAAAGTTACTTCATTCTGAGAAAAAGCATAGAGAGAAAAATGAGATGCCTTTAAAAATTGAGCCAGACACTTAAGAGAACTGAAAATTGTCAGTGGATTGGCCTTTCATGAGTCTGCACTTTCTCATCCTGTAAAATTGCTGCAAAAATTGCTGCTCTTGAAAATTGTACACCTCACATACTCAATACAGCCTTCTACATTTAATGTATCTGTTCTCAGAAAATCTTGTGAAGTCCTGGGACTGGAAAGATCTTATTCTTTACTGCAGTTGAGAGTGTCTATGGGTTGGTGCATATCTAGGTTTAAGCATGATAGCCTTGTGATACTGACATAATACCACATGACGAATTGTCAGATTTTTTCAGTGTGTTTTTGTACACTTAGAAATCACGTGTACAATATGTATGCTCAAGACAACTGCGCAGAATTGTGTAGTTGTGGTCAATGGGGTGGAGTCTAGTTGG